TCTAGGAATGCACACTTAGATCATCCCATATTTTGCCTACTGTGAACACTATTGCTATAAACATTTCGGTGCAAGTTTTTCTTTGATAAAATGTGTTTATTTCTTTTGGATATATACCCTGTAGTGGGTTTTCTGGATCATATCAAAAGTCTATTTTTAGATTTAAAAAATCCCCAAACTATTTTCTATAGTGAATGTCTACTTTACATTCCCACCAACAGCATATGGAGTTCCGCTTTCTCCATTTCCTTGCCAGATTTTGCTACTTTCAATTGCTTGGAAAATAATTATCCTGACATACACGAGGTGATGTCTGACTGTGATTTGCATTGGCAGTTCCTGGATCACTAGTACTGTTGAGACTTTGTTTTCAGACATTTGCTGGCTATTTATGTTTCTTCTTCTCTTGAGATTCTTTTACCATTTTTTAACCGAATTGATTGTTGTTGTTGTCAAGTGTTTGTTGAATATTTGATTTGTGAATATTTTCCCCGTTCTATTGTATCTCTTTATTGCATTGATCATTTCTTTTGCTGTGCATGAGCTTTTGGATGTTACATAATCTGTCTAGTTTCACTGTTGTTGTCTGCACTTTGGGATTTTTTCCAAGAAGTCACACACCTATACAAATATCTTGAAGTATTTTTTTTTTTATGTTTTCTTCAAACGACTTCAAGATCTTGGGTCTTAAATTTAGATCTTTGCTCCACTGGGAATTGATTTCTTTATACAGTGTACAATATGGATATATTTTTATTTTTCTACTTGTATACATTCAGTTTTGCTCAGCACCGTTTATTGAAGAGATTACCTGTTTCCAGTGTTTGATCTTAGGACTTTCAACTAAAATAAGTTGAGTGTAAGCACATGGATTTTCTGAGCTCTGAATTATGGTCCATTGATTTGTATGCCAGAAAACAACACTGTGGTGTTTTAATTATTATAGCTTGTCAGTATAATTTGAACTTAGTATTGCAATGCTTTCAGCATGACATTTTTTTTTCTCATGATCGCTTTGGCTATTCTGGGTCTTTTTAGATTTCATATGAATTTTGTAATCATTTGAATTTGTAGATTTCTTTATCATGCTATTGTAAATATCTTAGCATTAATTTTTTCCAGTCATGAACAAAGAGTATTTTCCATTTTCGTGTTCTTGATAATTCCTTTCATCAATGTTTTATAATGCTTATTTAAAGATCTTTCTTTCAATTCTTTAAAAATTTTCAAATATTGACCTTTTGTGGCTATTATATATGGGAATTTTGATTATATTACTTTTCAGTGAGCTTATCATTAGCATATAAAAATTTTTGCATGTCTATTTTGTTATTGGCAACTTCAATGCATTGATTTATCTCTAGCATCTCTTGATAGAATGTTTAGGTAATTCCGTGTACAATGTCTTAGCATCTGCAAATCTGGGTATTTAGAGTTCTCTTTTCCAAATATCCACTGTTTATTTCTCTTCCCCAATTGCTCCTTCTAATACTTTTAGCACTATATTCATTAAGAGTGGTGAAAGTGGATATCCTGTTCTTCATATTTGAGGGGAAATGCTTTTGATCTAGTCCCATTCTGTATGATATTAGCTATTGGTTTAATCTCACTTGATAGTGATGATTGATTTTTGAGGCAGCTTTGGGTTTGAATTGCTTATAATTTTTTTGAGAAATTTCATATCTAAGTTAATCAAGGATGTAGGCTACTTTTACATGTAATGTCTTTGGTTTTTTTATTCACACTGATACTGGTCTCGTCAAAAGAGTTTCACATACTTGCATCCTTTTCAATATTTTAGAATACTTTAAAAAGTGTTAGAGTTATTTCCTTTAAAAATGATTTATAGAATTTAGTAGTAAACTTATCAGATCCAATACTTTTCCTGGTTGGGAGACTTAAGTTACTGCCTCAGTTTCCTTGTTTACTATGGGTCTGTTTAGATTTTCTATACCTTCTTGACTTAATCCTGGCAGGCTATATGTATCTAGAAATTTATCCATTTTTTCAAGAATTTTTAGTTTGTTTATGTACCGTTTTTATTTCTATTTTTTTTCTAAAAGGATTTATTTATTTTTAATGAAAGGCAGATTTACAAAGAGATGGAGAGACAGAGAGAAAGAGCTTCCATTCACTGGTGTACTATCCCAAGTGGCTACAACAGCCAGAGCCGAGCTGATCTGAAGCCAAGAGCCAGAATCTTCTTCTGGGTGTCCCACTTGGGTGCAGGATCCCAAGGCTTTGGGCCGTCCTCTACTGCTTTCCCAGGCCACAAGCAGGGAGCTGGATGGGAAGTGGAGCAGCTGGGACATGAACTGGCATCCTAATGGGATCCTGGCGCATGTAAAGTGAGAACTTTAGCCACTTGACCACGGTGACAGGTCCTTTATTTCTATTTTATTAGTGGATTTTTTATTCATGTGACTAATTGATTTCTTTGGTTCTCTTAAGGTGTCTCTCTATATTCTAGTACATCATATTGAGTTTCCTTACAATCATTATTTTGAATTATTTAACTCACATTTCATAAGTTTCCTTATGCTCAGGATGTAAGATCTACAGTGTTCTTTAGGAGTCATTCTTCTGTGCTTCGCCATGTTTCCTGTGTATATATTGATGTCTGTGCCTGAACTTTTATGGTCCATTCTTCTTTTGGAGTGGGGGTTATTGAGGAAATGTTGATTGTTTAGATGGTATGCATGATAGCATTTGGTTTGTTGCTTTGACTTTGGTTCTAGTTGAACTCAGAAGTATAGCCTGTACATGATTTCTTTCGCTGTAAAGAATGGTGTGTATAAGTGACACAGTCATACACCTTACTACATATTACAGGGGTAGAATTGTGACTTTGAGGTGAATTTAGTCTTCCTATGATGTATATCTTTATTTCCAGAGAGTTAAATGTCAGTTATTCTGGGGGTTGGGATAACCAGTGGCTTATTTATGGAGCTAAAGGAGGAGGAGGTGATTTTTCCCTTGTCACATTGGCAATCTTGAATGATGCTTATTTTTGTGGCATTAAGCACTATGGCTAAAGACTGTGACAAACCTTCTGTGGATGCCTTCTGCTATATACCTGCCAATTCTATACTTAGGTGCTGGGGACAAAAGGAAGGTCTCCAGAAATTTGAGTAGAATGTAGATGTCATTGGTGTACAAGTTCGAACATATTTGAAGAGATAAACACATAGGTAACCATGATATACAATGTGGTGTTTTTCATAAGCAATGTAAAATGCTCTGTGATTATATGGAGGTAAGCACTCATTTTAACCAGGAGAAATATTATATATATAATATATAATATATAATATATATTATATATTCATGTAGTAATATTTTACTATTTTGAATAATAATAATAACATAGAATATATTAATATTTGAGTTGAAGTTCTGAGAGAAAATAAGAGATTGTCCATCTGCTGGTTCACTATCTGAATGGCTGTAATTGCCATTGGGTTGAAGCCAGGAGACAGGAGTTTCTTCCAGGTTGCCCAGATGGGTGCAGCTACCCAAGGACATGGGCCATCCTTTGCTGCATTCCAGAGTGCATCAACAGGGAGCTGGATTGAAAGTGAAGTAGCTGGGACTCTATTTGTTACCCATATGGGATGCTGGTATTGCAGAAGGCAGTTTTACCTTCCAAGCCACAAGCCCAACCCATTATTTTATTCTTTAGTTAAGAAGAATAAGCTAACTGGAATCATTGTTGGCAATTTGAAATATAGATTAGAAACAGGAAAAGGCTTCAGGCAAGAAATCAAACCAGTGTAAGAGTTTGTGACATCAGTTCTCATGGTCTCATACCAAGTTAAGACAGTGATCATGAGACAAAAGTCAAGTGGATATGAACTAGAATCCAGGAAATTCTTGGAAAAATGCAGCATTTGTGGGAGTAGAGATTTTTTTTATTGTTTGTTTCTGTTTTGCTTATTACAGCATAGCCAAACACTGAGAATATTGTCCATCACGTGATATCTGCTTAATATCTCTCTATTGAATTATTTAAAAATTTGATGAATGACCAGATGTTTTCAAGGGAGATTAACGTGAACTGTGTCTGAAGAGATAGTAGGGATGAGTTTTCCTGTGCTGTGCATTGGTGTAGAGATATCTGAAAATAAAGAGATGATGATATGTAAGGAATGATAGTTGTGCTTTGTTATTTGAGGGGATTAAAATGATTGGAGCTAATATCCAAAAATCTGTGTGAATTCTGTGGCTGAAATGCATGCTTGAAACATGCAATGTCATACTTAAGTACCTGGATAAGGCTGTAATTCTCTGAGATTCCTCTGGTGTGCTAGTATAAAGAAACAGGGATAAGTGGCAAACCAAGAAAACAGAATTTGGTTCCATTTTTTGAGTGATGATTGTAAAGTTGAGAAACATATCTTTGTAAAATGTTTGGTTTTGTTTGTTATTAATTTAAGTGATGTGTAGTTATTAAAAGCTCCAGTAGATAGGACAAGCTGTGACCCGAGGGACTGTCTACTTCCATGTCGGAGTCATGTAAGAAACACATTTTTGATGCTGCTTGTGGAATATGTAAACCTACTTCAGTTTCCAAAGGCTTGTTATCTCTTATTGACCTCCCCACAAAGCACATGCATTTGATGTTTGATTGATTGTAAACAGATGATCTTAGAGAATATAACAATCTTCATTCTAGATTAACAGTTCTTCCAGAATAAAAGCAAAATATAAACAAAAATTAGATATTTACAACTAACTATGCTTAAGTCTATCTCAATTAGATACTTCTCTCTTTTGTGAACAAATATTTTATGGTTACAATTTTATAGACAATAGTAATCTATTAATTCTTGCCAGAGACTGTTTTCTAAACTATTTTAAATGTTGATCCTTGCAGATTTCAATGCTTGAATTCCCTCGGAGGGAAAGTAGTAGGGGAATTCGTGTACCGGGATGGGAAGTTGGTATTTCAGGCTTCAAGTATCACAGAGCCAAGGCACCAGAATGTCTTTGGAAGGGCCATGGAGCCTAATGGCCCATTCATCCCGATTATTTACTCTCACCTGAGCTATGGGAATGCAATACCTCCTCCAATTTCTACTCAACTCCAAGAACTCCAAGGATTGTTCAAAATCCCTACAAACACGTTACCTTCAAATATCTCCAACACTAACTTCGGATTGTCAAATGTGAAAAAAGAAGACCATCAAGTTGTATGTGGCGTTACTGAACAAGCCATCTCAAGCTGTAATGTATCACAGCTCACATGCATAAAACCAACACAAGAACAAATGACAGAGAGTATACAAACCAGCTCCTGTCCAATGACTAAACAAGCAATAACCCAGCCAAAAGAAGACCCCGCCAACAAATGGAGAAAATATATGAGAGCACATATGCAGAGAAAATTACCGGTTCGGAGAGCACCTCAAGGTGTTCCAGATCTAGTGCCTGAGAGGAAAAAGACTGCTCCCATTAATCCTGCTTATACTGTCCGAAAGTCACGGGTTTCCCATAGTGTCCACACACGACCATATAGAGACAGGGTCATTCATTTATTAGCCTTGAGAGACTACAAGAAATCTGAATTACTCATCCGTCTGCAGAAAGATGGTGCCCCCAAAAATGACAAGGACACTCTTGAAACAATTCTACAAGAGGTAGCACATCTGAATAGCACAAATCTTTCATATAGTTTAAAAGATGATATTTTTCAAGAGATACAAAAAGATTGGCCTGGATACAATGACTTAGACAGGCAGTCATTGGAGTTAGCAATTTCCATCAAAGCAGACCCAATGCAGAATGCTGCTAACAGAAACTTCTCTGAATCTACACTTTCTACAACAAATAATGATGCATTGTTTCCAGAGAATCCCCTGTTCAGTGCTGTTAATGTTAGTGCTTTAATTAAAAAGAAAGTCAGAATATCTCACTTAACCACTATGTCACCTTCTGCAGTGAATATGCATCTGAATAGAATCAATGCAAGATCTTCTGTGGGTCTCCTGCCATCCGGTGCCAAATCACCACCACCGCTTGAAACCCCCTGTGAGATGTCATATACCACTCCAATTCTGGACTCTGAGTCTGATTCTTGTAGCACTACAGATACAGAACAACTTGAGATTCAAGATCCGTATGCAGATAGTACCAGTTCAAATAGTAGTATCTTTGACAGTCCCGAGAGGGAAACCACTCCTTCACAAATGCTACCTTCTGTCTCAGCTCCAACAGAGTATTCACGAAGCATGCAAGAAAAACATTTACAATTTGGTGATGAATTCCAATATAACTCCATGCAACAGAAAGCAAAACAATGGAATAACCATACTGACGTGATGGGGACATGGAAGATTGACTCTGCAAGACAAGATGAAAAGGCTAGAGCAAATTGCAGCATAAAATTAGAAGAGGTGTGTGTTGCCTCCAAGGAGACTTTCGAAACCTATGAGAATACAGATTATCTTACTAAATATTTCCCTGTTGTTTCTTATGAGCAACGTGAGTATTATGCTCAGGAGTTTAAAGCTCAGTATGATGAATATCAGGCTTTGTATGCCAAGATGAAGACATTATCTAGTGTATTCCTTGAACTAGATTCTAGAAGAAAGCACTTTCCTTCAAACTCAAAAGAGTATCAGGAAATCAATGAAAAAATTATACTAGAATATCAGAAAATGAGAGAGAGGAACCCCAGCTACCTGGCAGAAAAACAGAGGTTCATGTATCTGTATAACAAGCTACTTCACATCAAGAACTTAGTACGTGATTTTGACCAGAAGCAAATAAATCTAGAGCACTAAGATGGTGCTTGAACTAGTACAAAGCTTGAAACTTATTTATTTAAAAATGCAGATGGCTTTTCCCTAGGATTCAAAAGGGGTGAGACTTGTTTGTTGAAGATTCTTGCATTCTATTAATTTTCTCCTATTTTCAAATTTTATTTCTGATTATGTGATTTTCATTTCATTTTATTTTGCTTTTCCTCACATTCACACATGTAATTTAAGTGGTCCCTAAACCATCAATATTTATGCTTTTAAAACTATTGAGGAAGCAATTTCTATGAATCAAAACTGTGCACATATGAAAAATAAAAGTGTATTATGGGTAGCAGAAAATGCTTGTGGGTAATCAAACACACTTTTTCACTGTGGTAATTACAAACTCATAATACACAATACACACAATGAAATATTTTTATATCACACTGTAGTCGAAACTAGGTTTCTTTATGTTGTGATTAAACAAATTATGCAGTGAAATATATGAAGATTTCCAAGTAATGTTGGTTTCATTTTGCTGTCCTTTAATAATATTACTTTGTTTTTTCTTTCATTTTTGTCTTTTTTCGTTTTCAAGATAACCTATTTTTTAATTTACATCATAGTCAAAGGATAATGTTTCACTGAATAGAAACTTTATCCAATAATAAAAGATACTATATAATCCAGCAAGAATATAGGCAATAGTTATAAACACTAACTAAATTTAAAAAATTCAGTTTCACTCATACTCAGATTATAAAAGATTTGATAAATTAATTTTTGAAAAGCTGGCTTATAGAGAGGAGAGACAGAGAGGTCTTCCATCTGTGGGTTCACTCCACAAATAGCTTCAACGACTGGAGCTGAGGAAACCTGAATCCGGGTGCCAGAAGCGTTTTGTTCTCCCATGTAAGTCCAATAGGCCAAGGACTTAGTCCAGATGCATATGCAGGGAATTTGTTCAGAAGTGAATCAGCCAGAGCATATATGAACCAGATTCCATATGGGATGCTGGCAACACAGGCAGATTCTTAGCCTACTAAGCCACAGTGATGGCCCCTCATATACAATAAATTTGAAGTTGTCATAGATCATTATAACTATATTAATATATAATTTGTAATCTGGAGCGGGGGGGGGAAGAAAGAAAAAAGAAGAAGGGCATATACTTTAATGGACTTTTGAAGAACATATTAACTAGAATTGGAATTCTAAGTAGGTTATTTTGTTTTAGTATTATAAAATACAATTCTTTTTTGGGTTCTTCATTTTTGCTGAATAATTGTTAATATCAGAGTTCTTTTTTGATGATACTGTGGTTTGTTTCTCTAGCTGTAATATTTTATGTTGCATTTCTGTTTTCAGGTTGGGATTTTTGTTATTTGCTTCAGGTTGAGAGTGATGTGTCTAAATTTTTATTTTATGAGAAACGAATGTATATAATGAGGTTGGTAAACAAAGATCTTGAATTTATTGCTTAACTCTTCATTCACCAAATACCTGTGATGACCAGGGCTGGCCTGAGCCAACACCAGGAGGCTGAATCTCAATGCTAGCACGGAGCGTAATCCTAATGGGCCGGGAAGTGACAGAGACACTGCTGTTCGTATCACTGCTGATTCCCAGCGTTCATCAGCAGGAAGCAAGAATCCTCTAACCTAGGTACTCTGACACAGTACATGGGAGTCCCAAATAGCACCTTACCCTCTATGACAAATGATGCTTGATCGTGGCCTCGTAGAAATCTGTGATGATATTTTTAAACCATTATTTCTTTTTCATTCTTCGTCATTTTATTTTCATCAATTTTCTCATGACTCTTATGACCATCTTTTGGTTACTATCTTTTTTCTTCTCTCTGTTTCAGTCTTTGCTTTCTACTGACTTCTCTTCTAATCCTCCCAGGATTGCCTTCTGTAGTAGACCTCATTTTTTATTAAGAACTGTTTTTATGGACAATTTTGCAATAATTCACACTAGTGGTATGGAGTTAGGAAATGAGTGACAAAAATATTAGGTGAAAATGAAGTCTGAAAATGTCAATAGATGATGCACCAAAGAAGTGATATTTAAAATCATTGCTTGAAAAAAAAAAATCACTACTTGTTTTAATGATTTTTGTTTCTGTTACTCTCATAGTGAGTTTTTGAAAAATGAAGCAAAATTGTCTGAAATGTATTTAGAACACTGAAACCTAATCCTTACATGAAGAAGCTTTAGATTCTGCACAGGAGAACTGACAAATATAATTTTGGTGTGGGAAATCATCAGAGGGAAGTCTGAGCTCTGACAGCCCCAGCTGACCCCACCTGACAGAGTGGCTCAGTGGCTGACAGGTCCAACAGAGCTGCAGTTACACAGATCCCTGGACGGGGATCTGACAGCTGCAACCAAACCTCCTGAAAATTTCTGTGAGTTCCTATGTTGACAGATTTTCACCAGTCTTGGAAGTCCTTGATTGTCAGCTCCAGGGAGTGTTTTCCATTGGCAAGGCTCAGTCAGCTGGCCCATAGGACAGCCACGTCTGGCCTGCATGATGTATCCAGTTCTTTCACCCATTTCACCCATTTTTCCTTCCTGCGCATAGACCAGGGTTCTGTTTCTATGCACAATGCAGGCCCAGCTTAGAAGTGCATTCCTGACCATATCCTCATAGTGGAAACTCAAGTGCTAAAGTGTGACAAAACTGCAACCAGCCCCAAGTGCAAATACCAAACATGGCTTCAGGATGTGTTTCTTCCTTCCCCCATGACCTGACCATTAAGCCATTATAATAAAATTTCATGGAGTCACTTGTTCCCATTATGTACCAGATACCAGAAGCACTTTTACCATTTCCTAAAATGATCATGCAAACCAGCAGTGCTGCAGCCCTACCTGTACCGCCACGCCTTTGCAATGTTCTACAGCACTTCACCGGGGACATCACTGCCAATACCTCTGCATTGTATATCGGAAAGGTCTAATTTTTTAACAAGGGCTTTCTTAAAATTGCATCTTTTCTGTGTTGGGGTTGGCCATGTTTTCCTTTTTAAGGGCTTTTTCTTTGTATGTTGCTTTTTTTGGGGGGGTCTTTTTGGTCTTAGATTCACTTGTGACTTGTTATTTGCACTTGTACATGTGTTTACTCTGAATAAATCCTGATGTACTGTACATTTTCATATCTCTACCTCTGAATTCTTTCTGGTGTGGAAGGAAGAATTTACAGAATTCCTACTGAAGAATCCCCAGTACCACAAACATTTTGCCTAATCTATAGAATTTTTGGCTTTGTTCCAAATTATTTATTAGTTCATGGACTTCTATGATACTCTAGTCAAGATAGTTTATTTCAAAACTAAATCACAATGTAGCAGATGGAACAGCTCATCGCTATGGACTTTGGACATCAGCTGTTACCCAACTTTAGCTAAAAGAAAATTTTCTGAGTCTAGCATTGTATTGTACTAGGCCAAGTAAAGCTAAGGCCCATGACACTGGCATCCCCATATGGGTGGCAGTTCATTCCTCAACACTACACAGCTTTTTAAAAATGACTATTTATTTTTATCGGAAAGGCAGATGTTACAGAGAAGCAGATATAGAGAAAAAGAGCTTCCGTTCATTCGGTCACTCCCTAAGTGGCTACAACTGCTGGAATCAAGCTGATCTGAAGACAGGAGCTAGGAGCTTCCTCAAGGTCTTACACACAGGTGCAGAGTTCCAAACACTTGGACCCTCCTCCTCTGCTTTCCCAGGCCACAAGCTGGAAGCTGGATGGGAAATGGAGCAGCCTGAACATGGACCAGTGCCCATTTGGGATCCCTGCAGCTACAAGTTGAGAATTTAGTCACTGAATGCTGGGCCCACTGCTCCAGTTCCTATCCTTCTCCTTGCTTGTAGTAAAAGCAGTGGAAGATTGCCCAAGTGTTTGTTTCCCAGCAACCAAGACAGAACATTCAGTTGAAATTCTTAGGGATTCAGGCCTTGGGGTTGGGGGCGGCTTGCAACTCCTTACAGTGTGGCGGCTGTGGGGGGTGCCCCTGGCGGGCTGGATCCAAGGCTGGGGACTGAGGCCAGAGCCACTGCTGAAAGGCAGTGAACGATTCCTTGGCTTTGGGTGGCCAGTGCACCAAATGGTGCCAGGCTCTGCCTGCTGGCTGCCCAGTGGTGAGCTCTGGGTTTTTTTAGGATATGAAATTGCTGCTTAGGGACACCCACGAATAAGACCAGTTTAACTGTAGGTGAGAGATGAATTCTGGGTGATTCGCAGTAACAGGGTCATGAAACTTTTGGGCAAGCGTGGGACTGAGACCTGATGTTTTGGAGGGGAGAGTCTATAAGATCTATTTGGGCCAGACTGATTCACTAGCTAAATTAGGAATCCTAAGATGGGCTATTACCATAGAGCATCACTGACCATCACACACCAGTCCGCACCAAAGCTATGGATGGGGGCCTGTCTGGCAGGGCTGAGTACCAGTACTTGACTGGGAGGGGGGATAGTGGACTGGTCACATTTGGCAGGGTCAAGACACTAACCAGCATGCAAGAGACTTGGTCCGGGGGTAAAGTTTGTGGGGGAAGTGTGGGCCAAACCCTGTGGAAATACAAGTCCCACTGGTTAGCTCATGAGCTGGGGTGGCGATGGGCTAAGCTAGGAGTGACCACAGCCCCTGCCTTCACTTACGGGTAAAGGAACCGATAGCAATCTGTGCAGGTCAAGGAAGCACCACCCAAAGCTGCATCCTAAAGTAGGATGTGTGGTGGGCCGAGCTGCAACTGGAAGGGGGTATACTGGGCAGGGCCAAGCAAACCTCAACTCACACAAAAGAAAAGAAATCAGGATGGAGCACATGTCATTCTGAGCTAAGCTCTTACCCCAACTGGTCTTCATGAGACAGGAATACTATGGTACAATATCGAAGGGAAAGGCTGAGACAGGTGAGGGGCTAAGCCAACTGGGTCAGAGCACCCACTGACATGCATGCAATCTAGGGTTGGGAATAGACTAAGGGGGAGCTGTGAGAGTACACCACTGCTGGGTTGGGATTCCC